ACGGTTTTATAGGCTATAGTCCAAGAGCTTCGGCGTAAAACGAATGGGAATCGTATGACCTTTGCTTATGTCAGCGTAAGGTAAAAGTAATAGAGTTTTATTGCTAACTATCAGTGTGGTATTCTCTTAATATTTGCATAAATACAATATTGGACCATCTCATGCAAATAAAGAAGAACAATGTCTCGTTAGAACAAGAATTATTACAAAAGTGATTCATCATAGTAAGAGATCTTGTGCTTAGTACTCAGTACTTTCCTTACTAGATTTGTTGACTTAATAGGAGAATGTCAATTAATTTTATAAATCGAACCTAATTGAATGACTATTCATTTGATCAAAAAGTTTTTGCTTAAATTCTAGTAAAAAAGCTTTCATTCCATTATGAATGTACTTACTGAAGAATCAAGAACATCTTATTGGTCTATCGTTTCAAAGGTTTTATATGCACTTTCTATTATTATTCTTTTGCACTTTATATTCATCTATACCTTTGAATTTGAGATCATCGACTTTCACTTGATACCTGATGGATATTCTTTGTTGTGCTTCAGCATTAAACCGTTTGAAGTGTTTAGATAAAAAGTTAAGAGGACTGTAAGTAGTCTTTGGCGGTCAATGTATGCGATGAGAAACTGGTATTCATCTGGGTAAAAAGCAGTGTAATTTCAAGTGTGTTTACAGAGAAGATGATTGTATTATCGTGCTTTGTAATAGTTGAATATTGATAATCATTCGTTTAATTTGTGATAACATCGTTGATTGGAGTAGTGGCTAAACATGGGTCAAAATCAAAGTCAAAGCAATTATTTCAATCAATTCTTAATTATGCACTTTCGAAACGACAAAAATTCAATTGTTTGTCAGTTTGTCTATCAGTGAAGCCAGGCGCTTGATCCAAAGTGTAATTTCGAATGGAGAAGAACGAGCAAGGAACTCCATCGTTACTCTTTAAAACATGTTTGGAGTTTTTGTTCTTTTAATTACGTACTTATAACTCAAGTTATGAAGAATGCAAAACTTATTATATTTACTCCTGTTATGCGTTATTAAATAATGTCCATCTCACAATTACCCATACTTACATCGTCAAAATAGCATAGGACACGTCTTAAAGTGATTCTTACGCTGAATACTTACATGTGAAGTTGTGAACACAAAAGAAACGCTCTGGACTGGTAGGAAACACTTGACTACGTGAGAACACGACCTCCACATTATACCCCACTCCGAATAGAAGTCCGCTACCGCAATTGAAACGCGGTTCTTGTGGTACATGGAAATACCTTTAAGAATTTGCGACGGAACCTTTGATCGAAGTGATCAATATGTTATTTTTCATATACTTAGAACTACTGTGTATGTGTATGATAATATTTTCGTTGTTTACCACTAAATCATTTCGAGATAAGTAACAGAAGTTTTCATCAACATATTCAAGTACTCAATTAAACAATAATTCTGTAAGCTAATTAAAAACTTCACCTTACACTTAAAAAATTATTTCTTTATTGCTTTAGTGCGTCAATTTGAATGTAATATAAATTATTATACACCCCACGAACCGCGAAGCAGTACACTGACGCAGGTACATTAGTTAACTGTAATTACCGCTTTTGTCTTTGCTGCCGAAAATGAGGTGCGCTTTGTGCTCACCTCTCAACTACTGACACAAGCTTTATTATCAGAGCTCTTACAATATTATACACACTACAGATGTACTTGTACCGCTGGATATGATACGGGTCAAAGATTTCTCTTTGCCTAGTAATTAGATATAATAGTATTAATAATGTAGAGGTTTTAATGTGAATTGTTTCTGTTGTATTATAGATTTTAGTCTTAACTCTCGCCAATGTTGAGAGTGTTTGTTATTTATTAATGAAAAAAGTGTGTCGTTACCATAATGAGTGACATTGCGAATAATTGAGAAACAGTACCGAATCAATTTTTTTTTTGTTGAATATATCTGTCTTTAACTACATTAAAGCTCATTTATGTTTTGTTATAGTAACAATAATGCTTTAATTTTAAATATCGCACAGAAAATAAGCACTGAAATAAAATGAAAATCTGATTATTTTTAAGGCAATAAAGCGGATGCATTTGTGAGATGCAGCTCGTTACATATGATTTTAAATCGATCCCCAGTTTAGATTACGGACGCAGAATTGGAACGAAAAAAAGAACAAGTAAAGGGCAAGTAAAACTCAGCGCGCTATTTATCTTAAACTTATCAGAATACCGCAGCGTATTCGTTTTTCTCTCCCGTCCCGTGTATACTTTGAAATGGGTGTCGTTTTATTCTCGTTTCAAAAACAATGATTACCGCGTTGTCTGGAGAGCGCGTCGTGCGAGAGGGACGCTGTGATCGTTTTGCATGGAACGAGGTAAAACCATCAATTTGCGCCGAGCCGCGCCAGAGGTAAACGCGTCGATCTCTCTTAAAAGAGGCGAAACTGATCTCACTTGCGAGACTATCTCATTCCATACATAGCACCCACCAGCGCACACACTGTCTTCCTACAAAAACCCTTTCACGGCATAAAACACATCTTCAACTCCTTTAAAAAATATTTGTTCTAAATTAAGTACTACACAATAGCATGATGTAAAAGGTACAAAGAAAAGTTTCTGAAATTATGTAAGTGGTAATATATATACGTCAGGCTTGGATGTAGCAGACTATTGTAAGAACGCTCGGTTTCCAGCAGGCAGTGGCTGCAAGGATCACGCTCAGGTGCGAATCTCCCAGCAGGCGGTAAATGCTACACCCCAGTACCTTTTTTCCCAAGTTGCTCGTGTTTTTGCATGAGCCAGTTTCGAATAAGGGGCGTAGCGGCAAGAAAATTGCTATTTTTACAAACAAGCTCTTTATGGCGTAAAGAATGTGTGCAGCGGCGCCGCAACTCGGTAATCGATTCAAACGAGCTTCATTGTTTCGAGAAGGAGGAAGGGCTCGAATATGTCGATATCGGGCGCAACGGCAAGCTGCTCTAACCTCCGATGTGGGACTTTATCGGATCGAACGACTGTTGCTAGCAGTTTATGTACACCCGCAATGGGCATTTCTGCTACTTCTAATGTTCACCGTATGTTTACTTCCTTGCTTTTGCAGGCAGTTATAGACCCACATCAACAGAGTTCTTCACATTGAAAGCAATGCTACGTAGGTTATAGAACTATCTTGTATTACGATATCATGAACCGTTGTAATTTTATTGGGACAAGATAAGTACGCGGTCGGAACGTCGACAATTCATAATAATTTGCCGAGTTAACAGGTTTAGGTAGTCGCGCATCGGTAAGATGAGCGTGTCGGGACGCCGCATCGCCTGGTAATAAGCAACATCTGCGAATCATGAGGTCGGTGCGCGTTTTATTAAGCGTCGCGATAAATTTGCATCGTCAAACAGCGACCGCGGCAGAGAGGCACGTTCGACAAATAGAATAAATACGTAGCGGCTCCTCGTTTCCTCGCCAACCTCCCGACATCCCCCGCCCCAACTACAAACACAATTTGGACCTATTTATGTGCTGCTACTGCCTCAGCGTCAGCGCCGCTTCGCAATTACCTTAAATAGAAGAATTGTAAGAGCGCGATATGCGCCTGTACCTGTTTCACTTTTCACTTTAAGCGTTATCGCGTGCACAAACCGGTACGACCTCTACTCTTGGCTTCATTAATCTTTCAACAGTGATTTGATAATGATCTATATTAATGAAGAATCAACAGTTATCGTAGTGATTTGCTGCTTCAAGTATCCATTTGACATATTGCTACTGTTAATATATAGTTTTTTTTGTAATTTCTAAGATTGATTATATAGAAACGAATGCGTCAATTTATGTAATTTTTATTCGTAATCAACTTGTGTTCAGATTTGGTAAGATAGGAAACTTCATTTGTTCCCGCCTCATCACAAAGTATAGTGACGTCGTTGGTTAGGTAATTTGCAGTAAAAAGTATTCCTGAAAAAGGCTTGACAAAGTGCTCGGTGGTCGGCTGCGCTCACTGGAGACAGTCTCGATTACACGCGTCAATTATACCATAATTGCGGACAGCTTCTAAAGCTAGTGTTACGCGCAGGTCAGTAGTCGTCGTAAAAATTCACGAGCTCTCTTACCTGGACGAGACATTGAAAATATTCTTGTGGTTAGCACGAATACAGACATAAGCTGTGCCTTGCATGATTCGACGTTAGATTGTTCTATCAGAACTCGTCTGATAGAAATGTACAATGCCGTTATCGAGATTCATCGATACAACTTGAAACAGATAAGAGATTGGTAATATCGAAGGAACCATGTGTCGAAACATATAGACAACAATACTTCCAATAATGCTAGCTCCGTAACGACTTAACATTACGGCACTTGCATACGTGAATGTCCAGTGACCCGAAAGCTGTCAGATTTAGAAAAGATAACTGGTCCGATAGTGTAGGCTGGAAGTAAAACGAACGATGAACTCGGAACGTGTTGGGGTGATCCGAATCCGTTGAAGAGTTCAATAAGCCAGGCTTAGCATCGATCTTCGATCCGGCGATTACGACCGACGGCGTTGACGGATGTCAGCTTAACTTGTCTGTCACCCGGCCGGCACGGACACCTACCATATTAATCTCTATTCTCGCCGAGCAACACGTGGATTTACGCATCGACGAAAGTAATTTATATGCAAATCATTTCAACCTTGACGATTTCGTGACTCTAATACGGCTGTCATAGTCTAAAGCTACAAAGCCTCCGGATTTATCTAACGGTAACTTCTTAGATGAAAAGGTGTGAATTAATTATTTATTATCAGCTGATTTGTAAAGGCGTTAATTTACTTTTTATAGATACGATTTTGTTGTAACATTGAGTCAATTAAATATTTGCCTACATCAAAAGTAAACCATTTGACCTACTGGATGTGTAACAGGTTGTTCATAGCTCAACTTTTGTGGGAGACTGAGCTTTTATTTGAAGTTTCGATTAATATTTCACTAATACCGATGTCGCTTGTCATGAAACAAAGAGCATGGCGTTGTACCAGCGTCGCGTCGCGATCGCTAGCTCTTTGTGTGAGCCACAACAATATTACTGGCGTCTTGATAAATAGGAACAACTGTTGGTCCAACAATGCGGCTCGTAAGGCGATACGCGCGCTATCGACCGCTCGATTAATGACCGTCTCGCCTAAAAGAATGGACCATAATATTTATTATCAGATAAGCGCCCGCTACTGGGTAATTCGTGTGTCCCCGACTATTATACAACTCTCCGTGAATCGCCTATGCATTAGTCACGTTGCGTCTTACGATATCATTTTATGGATTTATGCCTTTATATTATAGATCGCGTTGGTTTTATGTTTCTCGAAACCATTCTACGTCTATGGCTCGTGGTAGGTGTTCTTTATTTGTGATAGATACTTGCGCTACCCTTGTTAAATAAAACATAAAAAACTTCGGCCGTAACGGTGAGGAGCACTCATGACACGCCTTACAAGATTTTGTATAAATATCGATTATAGTTTAGAGCGTTAGACGTTCAAGGAACTAATCAGCTTGGACTGCTTTTATATTATAATAGTTAATGAAATGGTCCGCCCACGGCTCGAAGGCCAATTGATCTCTGGCGCGTTAATGGGCGCGTCGAAAGATGTGTGCATGCGCACCCAGACATATGAGAGTCCCCGCCGTCCATATTATACATTTAAATACGGATATTTATAGATTTTTATGATTGGGCGCATGTAATCAGTATTTGATAACCGTTGATGCTATTCTACAAGGTAGGTACCCAATCACAAGTCTTGATAATGTATTGCCATTATGCATAAATTATGGTTGTTAAAATGGTTTTATGGATGTGATTGCATGCAGGTAGTTAAACTTCAAAATACTGTACGAAGCTTTAATTACTAATTATGAGTACCATTGTTGAACTGTTCCACATTACAGTTAGAAACTTGGAAACGAAAACAAGGATTTATCAATTTTAACTTTAGCCATTCAACATTTAAGAGACAGTACATACTTTATTTATTACTACTGTGGTATTATTAGATTCTTTTTTTATCTTTATTTATTTAAGAGGTTTAATCCAATAAGGTGGGTATCATGTCAAAATAAGAGATCTACAAATGTCCAATAACCAACCTGATATAACTTGGTTGGCATCAAAACGCAATATGTTCTACCTACAAAAGACAGCAAACTTCACAAAGGTACAAGTACTTCCGTGCACACCATTCATAAAGTTAGTTCAATAGTATTGTGTTGCAACAAAGTCTTCCAAAATAACCGCAAGAGCGTCACTTGTAACGGAACCAAAAGCTCTAACTTGTAAAATAATACATCACATCCGAAGGCTGTTATGAAACATAATCATAAGACAGTCGGTCCTCAGTTCTCAGTTACAAGGGAATATCTTTACCACTGTTTATAATCAGATGTTGAGATAAACGGCTCCTCACTCACAGTAAATTAGTCAGTATAAATAGGTAACACTCGTAAATTGTTACACTTGAATATATTCAGATATGCGTTATGAAGACATTGATCAACAAGGAACGGGTTACGCGACACGAGTTTTTGTGTTGATAAACAATATGTTGTATCTTATTCTTGTTGGTTTTCTTTTTGGCATCTTGTAATGAAGAGATTTACATCAAACTTTATGATGGTGCTGAAGAAAAACGTTACGCGAAAATAATATATGGGCTTTGTACTCGTAAAATTTAATACTAATATTTCTTTATTTCTTTCTTTTCCTTTCCTTTCTCTTAAGGAACGTTGCTTCACACTAGGATTTTCAAATTCACATATTCAATGACACCCAGACCCGAAACAACAATTTGTGGGTCACACAATGTGTTGTTCTGTGCGGGAATCGAACCCGCGACACGTTGATTTGTATATTGGTCCGAAGTTACGTTTCAGTGTTTTAATATTAATTTTGGGATTAAAAATAAAACTACTCTTTATAAATAAAACTATATACAATTGCTGAGAAGTCAAAGAAGATTAGGTATGATTTAATGTTTTAGCGTTGGTTTATCGCAGCTTTTCTTACAATTAATTCATAGATAACCCTTATTTTACACGAATAATTATTTTCTGACTCTTTTTCAAATCATTTCAGAGAGAAGCAGAGAGAACAGTAGTTCGAATATCCCCGGCATTGTATTCACAAACAGAATGTATTGTTGCTTTGATATTGATCATTTTAATATGCAGCTTTCATGATAAACAACATACGCCAGTGGAATGTAGTCTGGCTTTGATCCTTTAGGCTTATGAATACCTAACGCGATTCCAACGATCTTTATTTAGAATTGAATAAACAGTATCCATTGATGTACGATTAAATACGCTACACCGAGCTAACGCTGAATAACAATATTTGGGTGTGAAGGTATTTCGCTTCAAACGATACGCGTAGGTATATTTTGTGGTATTAGTGTATATTTGTCTGGTGGATCTACTACTTACTAAAGTTCTTTTGTTAGTAGTTTTGTTTAAGCATAGATTTTAGCTTATAAAACTAAACGATGTTGACGATCAATTTTGTTTGACAGTGTCAATAGAAGCAGAGCCGGTGCGTGGTTCGTTGTGATCGTTACAATTAGCGGCGATTGGTCGCGGTGCGGGCCCGACGCGCACGGCCGCGCTTCCCATAGCCACCTGCGGCTCTTCGCACTGTCACCGTCAACGGCTTTAATTAACTTTTTGTCTTCTCCACCTCGCACAATCGACAGACATTCCGGACGCTTCTACTAGTGAATCACCGTCAACTTGTTTAGACGACGTTTTTCTCTTCATTCACTATAGTTTATGGGAAGTGAAGATCCACTCGACTGAAGCGATTTCAAATTAAGGTGACTTGGTTTAAATCGATTTAAACGTTAAGTTTGGTAGTATGTCGAATATTACTTTCATGAATGAAGCTTTTCTTACTAGGACTGGAGGATTGAGGTTTCCTTTGTTCCCACCAATTCGGTGTCATATTTAACAAGTTATTGAGGGCTGCCCCATGTTATTGTTGTGTGAATTTCTGATAATTTTCTATGTATTACATATTAACGTCCTTAATTCTATAGAAACCTATAAATAAATATTATTACTTAGAACGAAATATACGAAAGTAATGTAGATATATTTAGTTTAGTAATCCACGTGTAAGCTATTTAATCTCGATCTGCGGCTCCACCCATATGTTCCAGTAATTACGGGTTGTTGTGGCATTACCAATTTATAACGACGACGACGAAGTTTAGACTTTCCTCTTTAAACTATATCAATCTTACTTTTGTATTAACACTTTTAAATATAGAATACCGAATCAAACGAGATTCGATCCCTTGCGTCTTTACTTTATAATGTATCGAAAATTATACACATCACACTGTCCATGCAGAGATTCATAAATCATAATAGAGAAGTTAGCAATGAATGGTAACATTGCGCTTGACCGTCCGCAAGTTCAAGTTCGCACGGGCAGACGGGCTGCTCGCTCGTTGCGCAAACGCACCGGTTCTAGTCCATACCGCAGACGCATGTCTTGCGTCATGACTCATCAACAGTGTCAGCGCGTCAATGCCTCGTTTATATAAATACGTTGCATTCTTTAACATGTTTATTTATAGAAGAGTGTTTCTTGAAAATCCTCGATCATTGATTAAGCACCTATTTATTTCTCTTGTCTATTGATAGGCTTTCAAACAAATTTGATATTTTCAATAGGTTAGCGATTTATGTTTATGTTTTTTTTTTCACGTTTTGTGTGTTTCCGTATGTAATATCAGCCTGACCATCACATCAATACACTAACCCAAACATTCTTATGCAAATGTAAGAGATTGAAGTCGAACAAAAAGATCGATTAATCGAAGTCAAAAGTAAATCGAGCGTGCGGGCGCGGCGGCTCTCGGTTCGCGCTGTCTCTTTAATTGGTCTTTGATAACCAGTAATAGTAGTATAAAGGCACCTATTATAGTTTCTTCCATTTATATTGATCGTGTTTAAAATTTAAACGGCCTGTGTGCGTCCATCGCGTGGTCCCTGTCTCGGGAAGCAATACGAATAAACTCTACTATGAATGGTTTCACACGAAACTCTTGCACTCTGTTGGACTTGTAATGCGAGATATGCGTGGGTTTCATTTTAATCCTGAATGTATGTCGCGTCAGTCTGAGTATGAAAGCTTTATAATACTAGTTACTGTTGACGTTGCTCATCTGAGTGACTGACTGCACAATCTGCACATCTCCATATATGTTTGAGGAACCTCAATTTTCTAATTAAACGAACAGTTATAGAGTTGTTTAGTAATTGAAATAAGACTAATTTTAATTACTGAACAACACTTTTGGCTACTTATTACTTATGTCGTAAGTAATCTTCGAGAATATGTAAGGGGATACTACGTGTGTAAAAATACTAAGTAACTATTCATGTAAAACTAATAGGAAAAAATTCAAACTTTTGAGAGTGAGAGTATTTATTGCGGAATATAAAAGTACCCATAGTAAGTTGAGTACTTACTTTTGTTTCTCGGGTTTAATTTTACTTGACATGAGTCGGGCGTTTACGACAGCAACTTGTGCGTCTCCCGGTTTTATGGACCACTGTTAAATAATGCGTACTCTTTGCGTATTGTCGGGATAGGAAACCATGTCGTTTTGTACTGTTTTTATGAGTTGTACGGACGTGTCTCATTTTATCCGATTGTCGAGGAGGGTGAAGTTTTTATGATTTTGTTTAGCACGAAATGTGCAAGTTACTGGCATACCTTATGTTGGAGTAAAATGAGATCATTGGCTTGTCGAGAAACTTGAACTGAAACTTGTCTAGCAAAGTTAGAATGTACGACGCGGTCATTTATTTGAGTATAAGATGATGTTTTCTTATGGGTTACGGGTTACTCATTGTAGTTTTCATTCCGTGTTACAACAAGGTGAACCTGTGAACCTTTTCCATCTTCATTGCACCGCAACTCATAAACTGTGATTGCTTTCTCCATACTCGTTGTCTGAGAGACATTCCAATCAGTCGAAACGCCTCCGAGGACGAACTAAGACTGGGAAAACCGTTAACTAGATCCGCTGCCGTATTCGGGTCGCACTTCATATTCGAGGCGACGATCACTTGCCGGCTGCAGAAATGCGTCCTCTAGCTGCAAAATAAGGACTAGTGTTAATTAACTGTTGATTTATGTTTCAATTGAAAAGTATTCAGTCAGTAAACTAATTTATGGAACATTGCCTTCTGCCAGCGGCCTCTAATTGATTAATTCATTGTACTTAATTTTAGCTTATGTGTCATTCCAGACTGTAATCTATATCTGTACC